AAGCTCGTTATTAGCATTGGTCACCAGTCATACCACCCTTCTTCGGCACATACTGCACCGGTGAAGTCCATGAGCTGTCAGAGATAGGATACATCACGCCGGCATCTAACCACTTGATCACCTCCTTTTTCACAACTTCCTGCATTGCCTCGTTTAGCCTCCTTTGATGTTCCAAGGAGGGTTTTGCATCATCTTCCAGATAATCTTGTGCATACGGGGCTTATTCCCCGAATATCAGCTAAAGTCCATCCAATTGCCTTTTTCCGCTTTTTGAGCACCGCCAATGTGGAACCTACCTGCACTGCCTCTTTGCCAGGAAATCATGCTCTCTGAATCTCCCAGTGCGGACCGCACAGAATGTAGTGCTGCTGCACTGGCCTTGTTCTGCCTGAGCTTTGTCTTGTCTTAGTGCTTGTGCAAGTTTCACTCCCTTTGAGCTGATCTTTGACATCTTGTCACTTTGTTGATCAAACCTGCAATCAAGCACAACTTGTGAGCCTTTTGGGACAATTTTGTACGAATTTCCAATCAAAACCTAAGCAAGAAGGAGTATAAAATGTATCAAAATCACTAGTTATCAACTAGCTTTCTAGGGAGCACAAGAAGTTGAAAAAAACACGGGCCTCCAAGGAGTCCGTGAAGAAGCTGAGAGCTGATGTTGATAGACTGAAGGCAAATCAGTTGCCTTTAGATTTATTGCTCCAGGACCCAGTACTAGCAGCTGATCCCCAGCCGGAACACTCTTAGAGGCCTCCTAAGAGGAGGAGGATGATTCCCAGATCGGATGATGCGGTCATCCAGTTGGCCGACCCACTAGAGGCTTCTTCCAGTCAGCCACATGATGCACTTCAGGAGCCGTCCAGGTCCAGGCCCAGGTCCCAGCAGCACAGCAACAGGCCACCGGGAACCAGTTTGAGGTTCCCGAGCACAGTGAGGACCTGGGACCACTCAGGAGCCCATGCAGACACATAGGCCATAGGGAGTCCCTATATCCTTTTTCCTTTCTCTTTTGATGCTTATTTTGTTTAGTTGGCATTGGGGACAATACCAGATTTCATTTGAGGGGGTAGGCCCTACTTTTTGTTTCATGGATTCATTCGGATGACTGTATATAATTGATACTTTTTATGCTTTCTTTATTTTTCATCTTTGGTTTGTATATATTATTAACATTTCGCTACATTTCTCGCACTTTTATTTTACTTTGGGTCTGTATATAAAGTTATGTTACATTGTAGATATTCATCCCATCTATTGTATATTCGACAAATCCCCTCTTGTATATATTCATTTTACTTTCCGAAAACTTTTTTGTTCTTAGCTTCTTGTTTGTGATTCGTAGCTTCTTGTTTTGAAAGTTAGCAATAAGCCTTTGGTTTTCTTAATGCCACGGTTCTTTCCAAAGGTGGAGTGTTGTGTGAACCGGGTGGCTCTTTCCAATGATAGATGGCGTGACAACCTTCTTAAGGGTTTGAGTCCGTTTTTCTTTTTGTTTTTAGTAGTTAGTAGTTAAGGGTACCTCAAGCAAAGCTTCACTTGGGCCTAGCACATTTGCCTTTGATCTTATGGTCAAAAACAAATTGTTGTGTTTAGGATGGTGAAAGTCGTGACCTTGAGACTCTTGTGTTGGCCGATAATCATCAAGTGGTTTTTCGGGACCATTGTGTGCTCAAATCGTATCTAAGGTCGTTGTGGGCCCCCGACTCTATGTCTTTAGCAATCCCTTAGCTTGTGTGGTGAGTAATTGAATTGCAAGTCCAAGTCCCGAGCCATTGGTCTAGAACTTGCCCTGAATGTTTGTTGAGGCGAAATCCTAAGTGAATTTTGACTTGAGACATGACTATAGGCTCTCCTTGATCCAAATGATAGTTTGAACAATTCCATAGCCTACCAATGATAAGATCCCTAGTTAACCCTTTTGAGCCTTAGACCTTTTTCTTTCAAGAACCATGATACAAGCCTATACCCGTTCTAAAAGATACCCTCTCTTGGCACCCGATCTTTCCTTTAGCACATGGCAAAAGTATAAGTTTGGGGGGAGAGACGAGGATTGCAACAAAGTGGTAAAAAGGCACAAAAATGAAGAAAAGGAAAGGCAATGAAAAAGAAAGAAAAGCAAAAAGACAAAAAGAAAGTTCAATGTGAAAAAGAATAAAAAGGGATTCAAAGAAAAGCAAAGAATGAAAGGTGTGGAAAGTTGAAAAAGGAGAAAAGGTTTGAAATGCATAAGAAAGAGTGACAATGTGTCTCTCTAACCCCTTAGAAAGAAGTGAAATGACTCAAAGAGTCAAGTGAATGGATGCCAAATGAATCAAAAGAAGTGCTTAAGGGAAGATGGAACCTACTTAGACCAAAACATTTCCTACCCTGAACCAAAAGCCTTCACAATGTCTCCACAAAAGCCCTATATGATCTTGAGTTGAATGAAGCTTACATTAGTGGATACTCACATAAGGGGCAAGCATATGGTACCTAGAGCCGGACTTGTGACTTTTTCTTGAGAGAGATGAGTGAACTTCCATTGACCTCGTTCTGAGTGCCACTATTCTAAAGGTGAGGTTTGCTTAGGGAGAGTTGAGGATGTGTGAGTTTGGGTTCCACAATGACCGAAGTAATAGAAAAGAGTTCTTTGATGTGTTGAGTCAACTCTTGATGCTCTTGTGTCGCACTTAATCCATGGTGTTTCAAAGAGTAAAAGTTGTTAATGATTCATGTGTATTAAGGGCAATTGTTAGTCCCAATTGAGGCTAGTTGAGGTTACTTTAGGTCAGCTGAATTTTCTTGGATTTTCCCTTAAGGGGTGGGTCTTATTTTGTTTGCTTGAGGACAAGCAAAAGCTTAAGTTTGGGGGAGTTGATAACTAGTGATTTTGATACATTTTATACTCCTTCTTGCTTATGTTTTGATTGGAAATTCGTACAAAATTGTCCCAAAAGGCTCACAAGTTGTGCTTGATTGCAGGTTTGATCAACAAAGTGACAAGATGTCAAAGATCAGCTCAAAGGGAGTGAAACTTGCACAAGCACTAAGACAAGACAAAGCTCAGGCAGAACAAGGCCAGTGCGGCCGCACTACATTCTGTGCGGTCCGCACTGGGAGATTCAGAGAGCATGATTTCCAGGCAAAGAGGCAGTGCGGCAGCACTACCATTTTCTGCGGTCCGCACTGAGATCAACGCGGCCGCAGTCCATTCTCTGCGGTCCGCAGTAAGGAGAATCAGAGAGTTGCAATTTCCCAGTGTCAAGTCAATGTGGTCCGCGATCCATTTAATGCGGACCGCACTAGAAGCCTCCGCGTCCGCCGTCCATTCTCTGCGATCCGCAATGTCCAAGCTCAGAGAGCAGTTTTGTCAAGTTCAAAGCCCTAGTACGGACCGTAGTCCATTTTGTGCGGTCCGCACTAACCCCGCAGGGGCATTTTTGTCCAGAATTGTCAGCTTAGTATAAATAGCTTCTTTTCCATTTTTCGGTCAAGCAGATAGATTTAGCTGGTAGTTGCGTTCGTGACTTCGGTTTTCTTAGCTATTTTGGCAAAATTATCTTCATTTTGACATTGAATCTTCTATTTTATCTTAGTAATTAATTAATATGAATTGTTCTTCATCTATTTCATGTTTTCTTCTTTAATTATGAGTAGCTAGACCCATAAGCTAGGGTTGTGGCTCAACCCTAGTGTGGGTAATTGATGGGTCTTGTATTTTAGGGCTTGATTGACTATGGGTGTTTGATATTTGGGCTAATTCCATGTTTAATTACTAAATTAGTGGTTGCAAACACTAGTTTGTGTTTAGTTGACTTTTGCTCTTCTTGAGAAAGAGAGCCTAAGTCTCTGGAATTAGTCCAACAAGGAATTAGGGCATACTCAAGAGAATTGATAGCCCCAATTAAAGGGTTAAACCGAGAGATCGTAATACCCGACTTGAACCCTAGTTGCTTGTGCAAATTTGCATACCCAATTGGTCTTGAGAAAGTCAATTCGAGCAAAATCGCTCAAACCACCGAGAGGTTCAGAGTGGGTAAAGTAGTGCAATGGTTATATCATACTCCCCAAATATGCCAAACGTGCCTTAGACTCAAGTACCCGTCAATTGACCACCTAGGCGGAGGTCACTACCCTAGGCCTTTTAAACCATTTGAACAATCTATAGCATTATAACTCTTAGCTTAATTTAGTTGCATTTACCATTTGTAGTTTGATAAATAGTAGAAACAAAAACCCCAAAAATGTTTAGAAGCGTAATTTGGAACACATACGCAACTCTACACTAGATAGATACTCGATTCCAAATTCTAGCTCTCTGTGGATATCGATACCGACCCTAAATCGGGTAAAAACTGCTCCAACCCTCTCTCGCTACTTAATTAGTAGTGCGGGGTAAGCCGTGATCACTTTTTGGCACCGTTGCCGGGGATCAAACCCGCCTGTCACGCGAGTGACCCGGTAATGATCCACCACAATCAAGATAGTTGTAAGATCTCCGACTTTCAGCAATCCGGTAATGAAATCAAATGACACGCTTTCCCTAGGTCTCTTTGGAGCAAGCAATGGCTCCAAAAGTCCCGCTTGTATAAAGCGGTCTGACTTGTCTTTCTGGCATACTAGGCAAGTCTTCATATGTTGAGCAACGTCATTAGCCACTTGAGGCCAATAATATGCACGCGCAACACAGCCATGGTGAATTCTTCACCTAGGTGGCCGTCCCACAAACTATCATGGCATTCCATCAGAAGAGTCCTTCACAGATCTCGTCATTTAGGAACATAAAGTCGGTTCCATTTCACCTTTAGGAACCTATCTTCCATGTAGAACTGACTATTCTTTCCCTGTCCTACCAAATCGACCAAATATTGTGCAGAGTTGGTACACTGATGCTAGGTCAACCCTCCGACTAAGTGTATCAGCAACATGGTTGGTCTTCCCACTTTGGTACTCCAAGTTGAAGTGAAATTCCGCTAGGAGTTCCTGCCACCTGGTCTGTCGACCATTCAGCTTTGGCTGGGTCATGAAATGACTAACAGCCGTGTTGTCCGTCTTGACCACGAACGGGGTTCCCAGCAGATAGTGCCTCCAAAGGCGTAAGTAGTGGACGACAACCAATAATTCTTTTTCCATGGGCGGCGTAACGCCCGTTCTGCATCCTTCAACTTTCGGCTCTCATACGCAACTAGATGCCCCTCTTGTAGCAAGGCTCCGCCCAGAGCATAGCCAGAAGCATCCATTAATACTTTGAATGGCTTGGCCAAATCAGGAAGGGCTAAGACGAGGCTGCTAGACATAGCCACTTTCAATGCATTAAAGGCCCCCGCTCGCTTGGGACCCCAATCCCAAGGCATGACTTTCTTTAGGAGTTTTGTGAACGGTACTGCGATGAGAGAGTAATTTTTTACAAACCGCCGATAGAAGTTGCACAGGCCAAGGAACGCCCTCAAGGTGTGGATATCCTTAGGCATCGTCCAATCTATGATAGCCTGAATCTTCTGTTGGTCCATCTTGATTCGCCTTTCCTCGATGACATGTTCGAGGAAGTCAATCTATTTTGGGCGAAGGAGAACTTGGATAGCTTCACATATAATTCGTGTTCTCGCAGTAGGGCTAGGACCTTCCGCAGGTGCTCCAGGTGTTCCTCCAATGTTTTGCTATATACCACAGTGTCATCCAAGTAGACCACTACGAATTCGTTAATGTACTATCAGAAGACTTGGTTCATCGGGGTGAAAAATATGGTTGGAGCATTAGTCAAGCCGAATGGCATGACCAGGAAGTCGTACGACCCATATCTTGTCACACAGGTCCTCTTGTGTTCGTCTCCCTCTGCAATCGGGACTTGCAATAACCGGTCTTTCGGTCTATTTTGGTGAACACTGTAGCACCACCCAGTCTATCGAACAAGTCCGTCATTAGCAGGATAGGGTACTTGTTCTTCACGGTGATTTTACTTAGGGCCCGATAATCCACACAGAATCATAGGGTGTTCTCCTATTTGTTGATACCCAATTTTTTCCTATGTATTTTTCGTACCCAAAATACTTCCAAAATAGCATATTTGTGCATATATAAGCACACCCATGAGTTTTGATATTTTTTGATGATTTTTAAACCAATTTATTGCCTATTTTTATACCATAAAATCCAATAATTATTCCCAAAATTTACCATTTTGGTGAACGATTTATTTCATTCTCATATTTACATCAAAACATAGCTAACATTATTTTTGCATATTTTTTAGAAATTCATTTGGTATTTTTAAAACCAAATTGCATATAATTGCAATACTAGCCTCTTTAAAGATTCAATTGTAATTATATTTATAAAATTGACTCCAGTATTTTTAATTTGATATGTATCATTAATCATTTTATCACATTTAATTTATTTCCAGAAATTATTTAGCTATTTTTTTTATAAATTAAAATAAGGGAAAAGTTGTTATTTAAGAGTTAGCCCTTTGCATTTCAATTTTAGCCCGAAATTAACCTCAATCTTAAGCCCAAATCAGACCCAAAATTCCCTACCCAATTTCTTAATTAACCCGACCCACGGCCCGTTTATTTTTACCCGCCCGGCTCCCTTTTGATCCAGGCCGTTGATCAAAATGATCAACAGCCACATTTTCTCCTTACCATTTTAATTCCCAAACGACCCTAACCCTATCCCCATTCTCGAAATCCGCCGCCTCTGGTTCCTCTCGTCACTCTCGAACCCTCTCAACCTCTGAAACCCTAATATCCACCTACCTCCAGTATCCATGGCTAATCTAGCCATGGACAACCTCTACCCACCATCTCCTGCTCTCACACGCTTGCTCATTGAAGATTCGAGGCTAGACCTCGAAGGTCTTCATCCAGACCCTGGCCAGTTCGAGTTTCTTTGCCTGTTTTCGGCTTTGCTCCGTCGTATCTCAGCCTCTCGAGCTTGGATTCGACCTTGCTAGCTTAGAACCATTCTCGAGACTTCCAAGCCTTCTCGTCCTTTTGGGTTCTCAGAAACCCTAGCCTAATCGAGGTTCCTTTTTCGCTTATTCGTCTAGATCTATGCTAGATCTATGCTGTCTATGCGTTTTTAGAGTTTTTCCCCAATTTTCCCTTTTCAAAACTGTTCGAATCCTATTTTTAGGGTTTTCTAAATGTTTCTGATTCTTTTACTCTTTTTATGTGTGTTCATGCTCGTTGTTTTATTCCTTGTTATGTTCAAGCCTGCTCTTGTGTTTCTTACTGGATCTTTTACAGAGATTCTTTTACCTCTTTTGTTCACATGTTAGCCTAGGTTATTGACTCGCTTTTGCTTATGTGTTTAAGCTCATGCTTTGATTTTGTTTCTGAGTTCTGTTGATCATGCTCTTGCCTACCTTCGTCTTAAAACTCGTAATTTCCTCTTACTTCTGTTTGTGCATATCTGCCTATCTCTGTGACTTTGAACGATTCCCTCACCTCCGACTCCATGTGAAACCCTAAGATTTGGGGGGTTTTCTTTTTTTTGAAGTGAAAGACACTAGGGTTTCACTCTGAAACCCTAGAATTACAAACTCATGACGAGTCTGTAATCGAACTTGTGAACTTATTTGCCTATGATTATGGAAAAAACTCTTATTGTTCTTCTTTGTTTTGAACTGCATGCTTATATATAAGCTTCCCTTTCAAAGTTTTATTTTCGAAATTCCTCTAATCAGGCTAAGAAATTCGTCACTAATTTCTCTTGATTGAACCTCTTTTACCTTACTGATGTTTTCCTTAAATAATTGATCCTGTATCTTCTGTGATCTTGCACCAACGTTTGAATTATTTACTTCATTAATTATCTCAGTCTCTTTGTGATTTACAACTGGAGCCGAGATCCTTTGACTGATTTTTAAACTTATACCTTATTCTTACTACTGTGCGCTCTTTCCTTAAATATCCAATTGTGTATGTGACCTTATTTGTGCACCATATGGTCTCTTGACCTTATTTTTTACCTTAATAAACTGATTCTCTCTTCCTTCTTAGTCGTCTGAACTAGACCCTTAATTAAAGGAGTCTGTCTATCCTAATTGATACTAATTTGATTAGTTTCTATGTTTATACCTTTGTGCCTGCCTCACCTGTTTTCAAAACTATATAAAGGGCTCAGCCCTCCCCTTTTCAAAAGGGCAGTAACAACGAGTAAGTAACAATCAAGCAATAATAGGCAATCTGCTTTCTACTCCCTTCTTCTCTCAAATACACAGACCAGTTCTGTGTACTTCTCCTCTTTGCTTTCTGAAATACCCTTTAAGCTCTCCTTGAATCTTCAAGTGTTCTGCTGAAAACCTGAGTTGTTTCTGCTGTTTGCTTGCTGTGGTTACTCTGCTATTCTCTTACTTTGCAACCGGTATGTCCATCTTAGTTTAAATACTGCTCCTCCACTATGTGTTTCACATCCTAGTTCTGTTATGCTTTCCTTTACTGTTTTTCTGCAACTTTGTCATTATTGTTCCTATGTGAATCCCCTTACCCTTTACCCTTTGTATGTGAGTTATGGTTCAGGACATAACAGCACTCCAATTTGCTGTCTATGATCCTGAACTGGATTCTTTGAATCCCAAACTCAATCAATGCCCATTCCCTTTTCCCCTTTTATGTGTCTGAGCCCTGGACTGGGGTCTGATAGTGTCCTAATCACTATCTAGACTTTGGTCTGACCTTCAAAAGGTCTGCTCCTAACTTGTTCAACCAAACAAGTGGTCAGGGGTGTGCCAGCCTACTTTGTAGCTAGGTATGACCACCACCTGTCATGGCTCCCCAATTCCCCTTTCACTTTGCACTTACTCTTAGCTATAAGTTCTGCCCCTCTCTTGCAAGCCATTCTTTGGGACCCCCTGAGCTCCCTCTGAACTTGGATGCATGAGAGCTGGCTCTTCCACACTGCACTATTCTAATTCTGATAGTATCCTGGGTGTAAGCAATGCCTGGAATCCCTGAGATTCCTTGGAACTTTGAAACACCTTGGATAAAGAGAAGGCTTTGGAAATCTGGATCCCGGAAGTGGCTCAATCGCATGTTATTAGACATTAAGGTTGAATTAGGCTACTCGGATCTAGCTGTTAGCTTTTGATGTATCTTTTCATTTCCAGTTTGATTCATTGGATTGTAATAATTTTGTATGAAACTCGGGGAGTATAGTAAAAGGGTGTGGGAGGGGTCTTTACTTTTCTTGCTTCCAAAGGGTAGAAATCATGAGTTAGGATTTTTTTATTCAAACTAGAAGTCCTTCCTATAGGGTCTTTAATACTGATTCAATCACATAGAGACCATGCCTATAAGATTTAACTCTTAACTTTACCGCAAAATCACCTAGAAAGCATGTCTATAGGATTTAACATTCATGTTCTGTAATGACACATATAGAGATCATGTCTATAGGCTCTTGCATTTCTGCATATACAAAAGTCATTAGGCAAACCGTCTATAGGCTTAATAACAAAGTTGCATATAGACATCATGTGTATAAGACTCCTACTAATGTCATGAAAGGGTTTTAAAATCGGTAAACGTATAGAAAGCATGCCTATAGGAAACCTCGTCTTTAATAGCATCATTCGTTCTTAAGCAGTATCGATTGCTGGAACTAGTGTCTTTACTAAAACTGGTAATTTTCTACTTCTGAAACCAGCTAAAATTGGTAAACCTTTTTCCTATAACCAATCTGCACTCCCCCGAAACTCGTAAACCTTTTAATCACTCTACATCTTTTCTAAAACAACTGGTAACTCTTTTCTAAAATTGGTTTGCATCTTTTCTCTTTGTTTAAACTGATAATTCTTTTTTCTAAAATCAACTTGCATCTTTTCTGAAACAAGTGGTAACTCTTTTCTAAAATCGGTTTGCGTCTTTTCTCTTTGTTGAAACTGATAATTCTTTTTTCTAAAATCAACTTGCATCTTTTCTGAAACTACTTGTAGCTCTTTGCATCTTTTTCTTGAAATTAATAGATCCTACGCCTAGGTTTTTATTTCAACTCATAAACAAAGGTTAGCTAATTAATGAATTGGGTCAGTCCCTGACAACTGTATCCGAGTTGCCTAATGCAGACTCTCTATTTTAATACATGTGTTGAACCAGTCCGCTCGCTGCTTAATTTAATCTAAGACCAAATCAGTATTTGTCAAGGCATGCTAAACTAAATGATTGTTTGACTTCTGGGGTTAATTTGAGCCTTGTATGCTTGCTTGTCCTCCCCTTTTACTTGATACTTGTTTTGAATGTCGAGCTAGAATTTTATCCTTTAAACTCCACAAAGGTCCCCATCCCTTTCTTCCCCTTTAGGATTAGAAGTCCTAATACCCCGGGACTAATAGGATTGGGACGGGTAGTGGCATGCGATAAGTAAACGATACCATTTCGCGCTTTAATACCTTAACGGGGTGGGAAGGGTAGACATGGAGATGATGATTACACGATAACACTCCGCGTACAACTGAGTACCAGTGTTGTGCGAATGATCCATGTAATGTATAAACCTAGGACCCCTT